GCTTTATAATTTAGAATGCTCTGTGATTCTTAGAAGAATTCAATAAAGTTTTTATTAAAGTGTTAAGAAGAACCATTTGAAATATTTTGTGAGGGTATAATGATCCCTGAAAGACAACATTTATTAAAAACTAAGTTTCAGGAGTTTTAACTATGCTTCACAAAGGTGCTGAAATTTTATTTTCCTACTCTGCTGACAAGACCATAAAGGACCTCTCTCAATTGAATAATGTATGTTATCAAGCAAAAATATAATAATTTGTCATAGAAGCACTCTTCCTTTTAGAAAGTACTCTCAGCTACAATATCTTTATTCTTTCAAATGTTCTATATTTCGGCAAGGCCTTCTGCATATTTAATATATGTTCGCTAATAAGCACCAGACTCACAGTATTAATTTTCTATGCTGCATAACAAATTACCTTAAACTTAAAGGCTTACATAATACACATTTATTATATCACTTTTTATACTGGCCAGTAGTTCAGATATAGCTTAGCTGGGACATCTTCTTAGGGTCTCACAAGGCTGCATGCAAGGTGTCAGCCAGAACAGGGTCCTTATAAGAGATTCAACTGGATAAAGACCAGCTTTCACATTTCCTCAGATTGTTGGAAGAACCCATTTTCTATCAATTATAAAAGTCATGGCACCTTACTTTTTCAAAGTCAGCAATATAGAGAGAGCAAATCTGCCAGCAATACTGAGCCTTATATAATAGAACATTACAAGTGTGACATACCATCATTTTTACCATATTCTATTTGTCAGAGGAAGTCATACATTTTACTCACACAAAAGGGGAGCAGGTTCTTTAGGGGGTGGACAAGGCATTTGGCCTCAATGGGCCCACCTTAAAGTCTATTCACCACATCCACATCACAGCTTTTAGAAAACTAAAGGTATTGTATACATAACTAGAGGCCTGATGCACAAAAATTCATGCAAGGGTAGGCCTTCCTTCCCCTGGTTGCTGGCACTGGCTTCCCTCTGGCACCCAGGACCCAGGCTTCTCTCCTCTGGCCACCTGAAGGCACCCAGGACCCAGGCTGCTTCCCTCAGGCTGCCCACAGGCACCCGGGACCTGGGCTGGCTTCCCTCAGGCCCCAGCTTTGTCAGGAAGGACATCTGGAATGACATCCAGAAGGACATCTGACCTACCAGTAATTAGCATATTACCTTTTTATCATTATAGATTTTTAAAAACTAAATTTTTCTTTAGAATTTACATCTGTAAATCCAAATTCATATACACCATTGAATTAAGATGTAACCGTTTTCAAAATGGCAACCTCAAACACATGCAATTCAGTGTATTGTCTCATTCTGCCTTTGTCCTACAAGCCTGCATCACTGATAAAGGTTCTTACCATTCTCCCATTCTACCCCCAGAGTTTCTGTTGAGTAGCTAATGAAGGGTCAAGAAGAAGACGCTGTGGGTGATTGTGAAAACCCCTTGTGTCTGGGAAGCTATTCTGCTATCCTAGCACATCCTTTTCACTTAACAATCCTCCTATATAGTAAAACCCTAATATGCAAATCAACCAAATAGCAGAACAACTAGCAGAACGACAGGTCGCTATGATGCACACTGACCACCAGGGAGCAGAAGCTCAATGCCTGAGCTGCCCCCAGAGAGGGAGGCGACCGGCAGTGGTGATTGGGGAGCAGGGCTGGCCAGCATGTGGCACCAGGATGCCAGCCAAGGTGGGTGCCAGCGGGGGCCCCTCTATCGCCCCATCCACCAGTTGTCCAGCAGATCGGCCCTGATTTCCAGCCAGGCCTAGGGACCCTACCCTATATATTGGGAACAGTCTTTGAAATTTAAAAATTAGAACCTGGCAAGGCTACTCTAACACTGAAAAAACAGGATGATGCAGCGATGACATGCATGGACTCTGGCTTGCACATTTTGTGGTCAGCCCTGATTCTGACACTTATAACTGTGACAAAGCCAGTTACTTAACTTCTCTCTGCTTCAGTTTTTCCACCCATAAGATGGGGAAAATGGTACTACTGCCTCAGAAGGATCATGTTATGTACTACTTTTTATAATCAGGGCAAACAAATGTAGCTGCCCATACAACAGCAAAATGCCTTTCACCTGTATGAAAAGTATGGTCACTCGTGCATGCAGCGTCCTGGATTGCTAGAGGGATGTTTAACTACCGGTTTAGGCCCAATCCCCCAAGGGCAGGCCGGGCTGAGGGACTTCCCCACACTCCGTACACGAATTTTGTGCACCAGGACTCTAGTTTGTTATATTTGTTTCTGTATAGGTAAGGTATTTTTCTCTGTGGTTTCAAATTTTTGATTTTCCATAGTTGAAAATGATATACTTATTGTATTTTTTTGAGTTTAGCCTGCTCAGTGTCCTTTGGGATTCCTGAAACTGTGGTTTATTGTTTGACATTAATTTGAGAAAATTCTCAGTTGTTATTGTTTTAAAGTTATTGTGTTCCCTTTTCTTTCTTTGTTTCTTTTGGGGGGGGGATTCTTATTATGTGTATATCACACATTTTGTAGTTGTCTCATTGTTGTTGGATATTTTGTTGTTTTTTTCTTTTTCGTCACTCTCTTTGTCAGCGTTTGTGATTTTATTGAGATATCCTCAAACTTAGAGATTATTTACTCTGCCATTTCCAGTTTACTTATAACTTACAGTGTAACAGTGTTTCAGATCTCCATCATTTTTTGTTTCTTAAAATTTTCACCTCTGTGTATACGCCCAATCTTTGATTGTTACATTGTTTCATGCTATCTACTTCATCTATTAGAGCCCTTAGTATTTTAATTATAGGTGTTTTAAATCTTTGGCCTACTAATTCCAACACCCCTGTCATATCTGAGTCTGGTTTTAATGTTTGTTCTACCTCTTCAAATTGTGGTGTGTGTTTTTTCTTATTTGTTTGTTGTTTGCCTTTTAGTATGTCTTGTAACTATTTCTTAATAGCCAGACATGATGTGCTGTGTAAAAAGAATTTTTATACCTAGGCCTTCAGTAATATGATGATAGGTTTGCAGTGGTCGGCAAACTGCAGCTCACGAGCCAGATGAGGCTCTTTGGCCCCTTGAGTGTGGCTCTTCCACAAAATACCGACTTCTGTGCATGGGCCACGAAGTTTCAATCGCACGGTACATGTGTGCCCGCACATGGTATTTTGTGGAAGAGCCACACTCAAGGGGCCAAAGAGCTGCATGTGGCTCTCGAGCCGCAGTTTGCCGACCACTGGTTAGGGGGAGAGGGAAAACATTCTATAGTCCTATATGGTTAAGTATCAGTCTTTTAGTGAAACTGTGTCTCTAAAGTATGAACTTCACATATACTTTTAAGTTCCCCACCTTCAATGGGACAGTTTGGGTAGTGTGAGCTTTAGTTAGTATTTTCCTTATTCCCTTCATCTAAGTAAAAGTCTAGAAGGGGCTGAAGTTGAGTATTTCTCTTCTTCCAAGTAAGTTCATCTCTAGTTCCAATAGTTTCTCCTCAGAACAGACATTTTTAAGAAGGACAGGATTCTCTGGCATATTTCAAAAACATTTCATTTTCCCCTCTTCGTACCAGAAAAGTGAGGGTATTTTCTCCAGTAGTCACCGCAAAAAAGTGGATGAGCCCTTAGAGGTAAAACTAATAAAAGTGTGGGGGTCTCCCAATAACTGGGTCTTCCTGGAGTTTTTGTCTCACACTTACCTATGCTGAGCCTTCAGCAATGTGTCATAGTTCAGTTTTGTGTAGCTTGGCACTGATTCCCATGAAAATTTGTGCCTATGGGTTTCTGCTTTGGTAAGCTTTGATTCTTTGTCTGTTGATCTATCCCATTTTGAAGGCTGAGGTTTGCTTTGTGACCTTACTTTTCTGACAAATACAAGATGAGTTGTTGATTTTTCAGTTTGACTAGCCTTTTACTTATTGTTAGGGTGGAATGATGACTTCTAGTTTTTTACATGGTCTAGAGCAGTGGTTCTCAACCTTCCTAATGCCGTGACCCTTTAATACAGTTCCTCATGTTGTGGTGACCCCCAATTTCATTGTTACAAATTGAACATAATTAAAGCGTAGTGATTAATCACAAGAACAATATGTAATTATATATGTGTTTTCCGATGCTCTTAGGCGACACCTGTGAAAGGGTCATTCGACACCCAAAGGGGTTGCAACCCACAAGTTGAGAACCGCTGGTCTAGAGCCATTTTAATTTTAAATATTCTTTCTACCCCTTTTTTCTGTCTTTTCCCTCTCTATTCTCATAATGTTTATGCTGATCTGCTTGGTGGTGTCCCACAGTTAATTTAAATTCTGTTCACTTTTCATTATCTGTTTTCTTTTTTTTCCTCAAATTTAAAAACTTCAATTGTCCTATCTTCATGCTTGCTGATTATTTCTTTGTCTTGCTTAAAGCATTTTAACCTCTGTAGTAAAATATTTCATCTTGGTTATTGTACTTTTCAGCTCCAGAAATTATTTTTTGTTTCTTTTTTATAATTTGTATCTTTGCTGATATTCATATTTTGTCCATGTATTGGTTTCCTGTTGTTCTCCATGTCTTCCTTTATTTGCTTGCATGGCCTTAAGATAGTTGTTTAAAAGTCTTTATATGGTAAGTTTGATATGTTATAATCAAAAGGAAATTTGTGGAGAAATATCAATAAGTTTTTCCCATTTCAAAATTATTTAAACATGAAAAAATGTATGAGTACCAAGTCATCCTTCCATATAACTTTGTGTTGTGTGTTTTCATGCCTTTGATAAAATATCTGAACAAGACATTTATAGACATACTAGAGACCCAGTGCACGAATTTGTGCATGGGTGAGGCTTCTCCCCGCCAGCCAGCCGGGTGGTCAGTATGCTCCCACAGCCAACCTCCCACAGCAGGCCAACCTGCCATGGTCCCAGGTTGGAGATTCAATGCCCAGTCCAGTGAGTGTGGGAAACAATGGAACAATGTTTCTCTCTCACATCAATGTTTCTCTCTCTCTCTCCCTTCTTTTCTCTGAGATCAATTAAAATGAATGATAAATAAGTAGTTTTATAAGTATGGTTTTAACAGGAAAGACATTAGTGATCTATGAAGTGAAGAACTCGTTATAACACCTACTAGTATGTACAGCATGACCCCATTTAAAAAATATTTATTGATTTCAGCCCGCGGCCTCCACCGCCATTTCGGGCGCTGCTGTTAGGCTGAGGTCCGAGCCGGTGTGCTGGGTGGTGGGCGATGAGCTGGAGGGGCACGCGTGGCCGCGGCGGCCCTGCGTGTAGGCACCGAGGCGGCCATGGCGGGCAACTTCGACTCGGAGGAGAGGAGTAGCTGGGGTGAGCCCCTCCAGGCTCCGAATAGGAGATCAAGAGTTTGATTCATTGCCTGCTTTACTGGAATTCTACAAAATACACTATTTGGACACTACAACGTTGATAGAACCAGTTTCCAGATCCAGGCAGGGTAGTGGAGTGAATCTCAGGCAGGAGGAGATAGAGTATGTGCGAGCCCTCTTTGACTTTAATGGGAATGATGAAGAAGATCTTCCCTTTAAGAAAGGAGACATCCTGAAAATCCGGGATAAGCCTGAAGAGCAGTGGTGGAATGCAGAGGACATGGAAGGCAAGAGGGGGATGATTCCAGTCCCTTACGTGGAGAAGTATAGACCTGTCCCCGCCTCAGTATCGGCTATGATTGGAGGTAACCAGGAGGGTTCCCACCCACAGCCACTGGGTGGGCCGGAGCCTGGGCCCTATGCCCAACCCAGCGTCAACACTCCGCTCCCTAACCTCCAGAATGGGCCCATTTATGCCAGGGTAATCCAGAAGCGAGTCCCTAATGCCTACGACAAGACAGCCTTGGCTTTGGAGGTACATAATGTGCAAAATATAGAAAGAAGAGATCTGCTACAGGATCTCCCTTTTAGACCTCTTAGAGCTTTGTAGGAATGCTGAATACAAGCTCCAGCATTGTGATGTTGTAGATGTTGAACCATTAAGTACTGATTTGGGCATTTAATTGGGTTTTCTCTTTTATAGAAAACCTGTTTTGGAATGAATTAGCTTAAAACTGTATAACTGAATGTTCTGATTGGTCTACTAAACATACTTTGATTAATAACACCACCTGAATTCACAGGAATTAACCTAAAATATTTTTTTCTCATCTACATTCTAACCTGTTCCTTTCTTTTTATCATTGTTCTGAAATCAATGATGAGAAAGAATCATTGATCAGCTGCCTCCTGCACCCCACTACTGAGGATCGAGCCTGAAACCTGACCAGGAATCAAATCGTGACCTTCTGATTCATAGATCAATGCTCAACCACTGAGCCCCACCACCTGGGCCCCATTTTTATCAATGCCTGGCACATGAGGTACACTGGCGAGATCTCACTCCTAGACCAGTGATCGGCAAACTGTGGCTCACGAGCCACATGTGGCTCTTTGGTCCCTTGAGTGTGGCTCTTCCTAAGCCTTAGGAGTACCCTAATTAAGTTAATAACAATGTACCTACCTATATAGTTTAAGTTTAAAAAATTTGGCTCTCAAAAGAAATTTCAATCGTTGTACTGTTGATATTTGGCTCTGTTGACTAATGAGTTTGCTGACCACTGTCCTAGACGAAGGTCTGAAATTGCCCAAACTCCTTTGCAGCTAGGTTTCTGGATATGAATTCATTTCTGACGATTGGATGTGCTTGTACGATATTTTGAAGGCAGAAGTGGGGCAGAGTCATCTTCCTGCAGTTTGGGCTGTTTGCTGCTGGTGATCATGTTTGCAGAGATGTGGAGGTTTTCTGCAGCGGAATCCAGGCTGTGCACAGGCAGTTGTGGCAAAGGCAGTGCCCAGTGACCTGTTTTGTAGGAGCTGGAGGGCACTTGCAGGGGCAGCAGTTTCCTAATCCCCAGGTCACAGCTGTGCCAGAATGTCCTAGAATTCAGTTGTGGCTGGCGGGGGGTGGGGGGGGGGGCAGCTCCTCCCGCTGGCCAGGGAGTCTTTCCTGGGGGCCCAGCCTAATACCCACTCCTTCAGTTTTCTGATGATTTCCCAAGCGCCAATTCCCTGTGCTAAATTCTTTCCTGCTTAAAATAGCAAAGATCTAAAAACATTTTGGATCCTCTACTTTCAACGAAAACAATGCTGCACAGGGTCAGGTCTGAGAAGTGGGTGAGGTATTGCAGAAAGCTCCCTTCTTTGAGTCTCAGCTTTCTCTTCTGTAGAATGGAGACCAAAGATTATTATCTGTTCATAGTTACTGAATACCATGGCAGCTGTATTTCCTGAAGATGGCTATATTTCCCATCCCTCCTGTGGCCTTGCCACTTTCCGCCATGTCCTCTCTCTTGAAGCGGGGCTGACCTCTGACATGCTGGTAGCCAGTACACTGGTCACCCACAGAATTCCAAGGCCAAAGCCAAAAAGGCATGGGTTTGCAGCCCTGCCCATTCTGCCAGGGTTCCCAGCTCCAGCCCTACCCATACTGCTCTGGGCTCCAGCTGGCATGGGTCCTTGCCCTCCTGGCTCTCCCCCCCCCCCAGTTGGCTGCAGGACCCCTGCCTGCTGGTGCTGCTGGGCCCAGCGGGCAGGGAAAGCACCCAGGTCTGGCCTTGGGCCTCCTGGCTCCTGGGTGCCGCTGCCCCTAGCACCCCACTCCGCATATCCCTGCTGTTGCTCTGACCAGGGCCAGATAACAGGCTGCTGTGTGCGGCCTGCAGGGACTGCGGTGGCCACCAGGTAAGCCTTCCCACCCCACCCCTGTCTCCGGCACCCTGATCCCAGGTACACTTCCACCAAAGAAGAGCTTTACCCACATAGCGGCCCAAGACCGAGCACATCCAAGGTCCCTGGACCCCAAATTTCTGCCAGCTAAGGTGGTTGGCCAGCTGGCCTCACCTCTGATTAGGGTGTTGGGGGCCAATCAGGGACTGGGCTGGCAGGGGTGGCAATTGGGCCACCCTGGATAAGGCTGGTTGGCTGCCACAGTGTGCTTCATAGCCACCGGTCGTTCTGGTCGTTCCGTCGTAATGGTTGCAGGGCTTTCATATACATAAATTTTGATTAGAAATATGTGGGAAATCAGATGGTCTGTCATTTTCTTCCATTTTAAATATAGAAAATTAAATAATTATGATTTTGAAATTTCCAAAAGCTCCTATCAGTACCGGGGCTGACCAGCAGCCCCTGAACGATGAATGAACAGATTACTCTGACACAGTTTGACTGTGCAAGAGAGGGCTAAGGGGCCCCTGCCTCTAGTGGCCAGGGCAGCCTCTATTGCCTGCCTCATTAGGCCTTTATTGGAATCTTTATCTTTAGATGCAATCAGTAGAGTGAGTAATCTTGGGAGGATACATGTTTACATTGTCCTCTAAGCAAGGGCATCCATGGATTAAGCATAAGGATTCCAGTAAACATGCGGGGGGTCTGCACATGCACAGACTTGTTTGGAAAGGTCAAGGAATAATTAGGGGCACCGTCTTCGGCACTCCCCTAAGTCTCCCCTAAATCAGAATTCTGACAAACAGGGCAGGCGGCCTTCCACACACTTCCCTTTTCTCAGAATGTCCTCCTTACAACCATCCAAGTCTCTTGTGCTCCCCAACATAGTGGGAAACATGTTTCATGAGATCATTTGGTATTGTAAAAAAACTGTTAGTTAAATCTCACAAGGTTTATAATCCTGATTTCTGAAATAGATTAAGGTTAATTTTAAAAATTCAATTTATGCAATAATTTAATGTGAAATATTACTTTACATTTGAATATTTATGGATATAAAATATAGTTTTTTCTTTACTTATTAATGAGTATCTCAAACATTTTTAAAAATTGGCATAAATATCCTATAACATCTTGTAAATATTTTCTTATAGGCATGAGGCACTTCGTTCTCACTTAGCTCCATTTTGTACCAGAAAGACATTGTGAGCCCTGGCCAGTTTGGTTCAGTGCATAGAGTGTCAACCTGGGGACTGAAGGGTCCTGGGTTCGATTCCAGTCAGGGCATGTGTCCAGGTTGTGGGCTCAAACCCCAGTAGGGGGCATGGAGGAGGCTTCCAATCAATGATTCTCTCTCATCATTGATGTTTCAATCTCTCTCACCCTCTCCCTCTCTGAAATCAATAAAAATATATTAAAAAAAGACATTGTGAAAAAAAACATGTTATTGAACATTAATATGAATAGATAATCTATGCATTTTTTGTGTGTTTTTTTATTGCTTCAAGTATTACAAATAGTAGAACATATATCTCCTTTTCCCCCATTGACCTCCCCCTGTCCTCCCCTACTCCCCAGCACATGCCCTCAGACCCCCCGCCCCAGTGTCTGTGTCCATTGGTTATCCTTGTATGCATGCATACAAGTCCTTTGGTTGATCTCTTATCCCCCCATACAACCCTTCCCTGCATTCCCACTGTAGTTTTACAGTCTGTTCAATGTTTTTTTGTCTCTGTATCTATTTCTGTTCATCAGTTTATGATATTCATTATATTACATAAATGAGTGAGATCATGTGATATTTATCTTTCCCTGATTGGCTTCTTTCACTTAACATAATGCTCACCAGTTCCATCCATGCTGTTGCAAATGGTAAAAGTTCCTTCTTTTTTACAGCAGCATAGTACTCCATTGTGTAGATGTACCATGATTTTCTATTCCACCCATCTACTGATGGGCATTTAGGCTGTTTCCAAATCTTAGCTATTATAAATTGTGCTGGTATGAACATAGGGGTGCATATATCCTTTCTGACTGGTGTTTCTGTTTTCTTGGGATACATACCTAGAAGTAGTATTATTGGGTCAAATGCAGATCCATTTTTAACTTTTTGAGGAAACTCCATACTGTTTTCCACAGTGGCTTCACCAGTCTGCATTCACACCAGCAGTGCAAGAGGGTTCCTTTCTCTCTGCATCCTCCCAGCACTGTTGTTTGTTGATTTGCTGATGATAGCCATTCTGACAGGTGTGAGATGGCACCTCATTGTTGTTTTGATTTGCATCTCTCAGATGATTAGTGACTTTGATCATGTTTTCATATGTCTTTTGGCCTTCTTTATGTCCTCTTTCGAAAAGTATCTATTTAGGTCTGTTGCCCACTTTTTGATTGGGTTGTTTATCTTCCTTTTGTTAAGTTGTATGAGTTCCCTGTAAATGTTGGAGATTAAACCCTTATCGGTGATAACATTGGCAAATATGTTCTCCCATGCAGTGGGCTTTCTTGTTGTTTTGTTGATGGTTTCTTTTGCTATGCAAAAGCCTTTTATTTTGATGTAGTCCCATTTGATTATTTTCTCTTTAGTTTCCATTGCCTGAGGAGCAGTATCAGAGAAGAAATTCCTTCGGCATATGTTTGCGATTCCGCTGCCTGTGGATTTCTCTAGTATTTTTATGGTTTCCCATCTTACGTTTAAGAGCTTTATCCATTTTGAGTTTATTTTTGTGTATGGTGTGAGTTGGTGTTCTAGTTTCATCTTTTTGCATGTATCTGTCCAATTTTCCCAACACCATTTATTGAAGAGACTGTCTTGACTCCATTGTATGCTCTTGCCTCCTTTGTCGAATATTAATTGGGCATAGTGGTTTGGGTCAATTTCTGGGGTCTCTATTCTATTCCATTGATCTATATGTCTGTTCTTGTGCCAGTACCAGGCAGTTTTGAGATCAGTGGCTTTGTAGTATAGCTTGATATCTGTATTGTAATCCCTCAAATTTTGTTCTTCTTTCTCAAGATTGCTGCATGTATTCGAGGTCATTTTTTATTCCAGATGAATTTTTGGAGAGTTTGTTCTAGGTCTTTGAAGAATGCCATTGTTATTTTAATGGGGATTGCATTGAATCTATAGACTGCTTTGGGTAGTATGGGAATTTTAATAATGTTGATTATACCAATCCATGAACACAGTATATTCTTCCATCTGTTTATGTCTTCCTCTATCTCTTTCTTCAGTGTCTAGTACTTTTTACAGGTCGTTTCCCTCCTTGGTTAAATTTATTCCTAGGTATCTTAATTTTTTTGATGCAATGGTAAATGGGATTGTGTTTTTAGTTTCTCTTTCTGTGAGTTCATTATTTGTGTATTAAAAGGCCATAGACTTTTGGGTGTTAATTTTGTATCCTGGTACATTGCCAA